CGGCATCGGCTTGTCGCCATCAAACTGGTTTTCCCCAATCTATTTAGCATAATTTGCTTCATATGCTCCACTTAACGCCCAGTTTTGTTTGCTACCGTGTGAGAACGTTCAAAATCCAGCCCCAAATTCTTGTCACAAGTTGTCAAGGCAATCCATACGAAATTCTAAGCCAATTGCTTAGACCCAACGAAGGTCAAGCACTTTCTAAGGCCTTTTTGTGTTGGAATCAGGGGTGTTAGTTAGTGGGCTCCTGTATATTAACATAAATTACGATTCAATCGAGCAGCTGCCCATAAAAACAAGTAACAATTTCATTAGACCAGCTGCGATGATGTTTCTTAGCTGTAGTTACAACAAGATACTAAGATACTTTCAATGCTTAAACGAGGGTGAAAAAAGGCGACTAATTAGCGTCAAGTGTCATGAGTCGCCGGTGGGGTGAGCTCATTTGTTTGCTTTACTTTGCTTTGCATTTTATGTAATGCAATATTTAATCAACTGCCATTGCATTCTAAATTTAAATTTCTCGCTTCACTTTGCGGCGCGTGCACGAAAATTCCATTGAACTTGAATGCTGGGCAGGTTGGTTTTGGTTTCCACCTGTGCAGGAAGTCGCGTTCGTCTTTTGATTATGTCGGAAACGCTCGATTATGAGTTAATGTGCGACGTTGGCATTTTATCTTGTAAACGGCAATGTAAATTTCAGCGTCTACGTGAGCGCCGGCCCAACAACTACATAATCCTCTTCTAATGACCCATTAATCATCAAAGTGTGGCCAAACAATGTTGTGATCGGCAATTATCTAATATCAAAGATGACAGGGCGCGATCTGTATTACATTAGCAACTAACTATTAACTGTTGAGCATAGGCAAATACACAGCCTTTGTATAATCGCTCATTCAAAGGCCAAGTTCAAACCGCACCCTCTATAAAGCATTGTCTTAATGGCAAACCACAAACATATTGACAACTAAGGCCGGCAGCTCCGAAAAAAAAGAAAAAAGACTGAGGCACAGGTTCAATGAACGGGGGCCAAGGGAACGCTATTTTTAAGTTCGATTTAATTTGATTTGTTCGCATTAATTGCGCGGATATCTTTCTCCCAGTTGATTCACAAACGGAAGTCCAAGTAAAGCACTGACTAACCGACTAAGGAGATTCTTGCAAATTGGACGACAATGTAAGGTATGGTGTTCGGAGCAAGGCTTGTAATTTAAATTTAGAAAGTAAAAGGTGCATTATGTGTGATAAACAAATGCTGAATACTGTATACTGGCTGACTAAGCGACTCGCCAAACTGATTGCATGTTATTTGCACATTTTCCTTGATTAACACCGCCGCTAACTACACACGAAATCAATAAAAGTCAATTTTAACGTGCCCATTACAAATGTAATGTAATAATTACTTAGCCAAGAACCATTTGTGACGGGGCTTATATAATGCCCTAAAGAAGCGATCGTGAAATATGATTTAATTGGTATTTGATTGGCAATATTTTCTATAGCAAGTTCTCGGCAAAAGAAAACTAATCGAAAATAATAATATAATATTAACGATAAAAAGACATTGAAAAGGGAGATTTCATGAATTAAAATTTTTCTAAGCTAAAATTAAATCTATAAATTGCCTTTAGTTAGCTAATAAATCAATAAAATTGCATTTGTAATTCTCAGTATTTATATTTACAACCCTATTAGAAATTAAAACTAATTTTGGATTTTAAAATTTATTTAATTGCGCACCAGCTTTAATTTTAGTGAAATTAAATAAGAAGTGTCTTGTCTAAAATTTATTTAGTATAGATGTTCTAAAATGTATGTAGGACTAAATTCCAATCATAACATCTTCAAATATAAGTTAACCCCGTTATTTGAAATTATCATCATGAATATCTCAACCACCTTCGACCAGCTGTGATACCCAATTAAATAGCACGTTCTCTTCGAATCGTAATGAAACAAAATTGCGGCGAGAACTGAAAAAACATATACCTTATATACCTATAGAATGGAATAAAGTGCCTTAACGCCATAGCAACAATTACGAGTGCGACTGCATAAATTGAATGACCTTTTTGGTCACTAACGTAACGACGACGCACAATATTGTTTTTAATTTTTTTTTTCACTCTTTCAACATGATTATTATGTATTATTTGTTTAGTTTTAGCTCCAGCACCGAGCTCGTAAATTATGCAATACTGCAACATATAAATCTCGAGCCGGAGGCTATTTTAGAATGCTGCTATTTGCCGGCAGGTGAAAATCGCAGCGTGACTAAACACAATGACGGCCCATGTACGTATTGCCACGCCTATTTTCGGCCAATTAGAATATCTGAATATCTGAAATTCTCAAGTTAATCGACAAAGGCAAAACCAAATGCTTGCGTGTCAATAACATCGAAAGAATTTCGAGCTCAAAAATTATAACAATCGTTACGCAACTGCCGGCATTTAATTAACAAATTGAAATTTAAATATTCTCGAATTTATTATGCACACTTGCATTTCATTATAATTTTAAATGTTTGCGCGCCGGTTTGACTTGAATTTTTTTTGGCGTTGTGTTTGCTTTAATTTCCATACATTTTCAAACTGTTTCGACCGCTGGTGAATAAACCAATTAACATGTACACAATAATTGTAATAAATAAAAATCAAATCAACAGGTTCTAACCGGATGAAAATTTCGCTTACCACCGACAAACAAAGTGGGTTTAGATCATTAATCACAAGAACTTGGCCGCCCCGCTAAAACCATTTAAATATAGAAGTATGAGTCAAAGACGGTCTTTGATATAGATTACGACGTATTAATGGGTGTTGAAAACCAATGTAATGGCTCCGCTAATTGCCGGATAAACCCAGCCAAAGAAGAGGGCATTGGATCAGAACAGGGGCTACAGGTTGCGTTAGTCACGCACCGTGTTTTGGGTTAAGATTTTTATATTTAATTAGCAGCATGTTCGGGGTAATTGGGTGTTTTTCCTTAACCTGCTTTGCACCACGTCATCGCCGGAGTTTTGACCTCTCACCCCAGGGAATTTGCCCTCTCGAAAAGTCAAGATTCCTGGGATAACTCGCCACTCGCCACATGTCACTCCACTCTCCAAGACAATGTTGTAATCGCCCTGGCGCTGATAATTAAATCTGATCAATTGCTTTCAGCGATTCGAGTCCATTTGATTCGAATGCCTTCAGTCCAGAGGCCGGTAAATGGCACAATGCATTAGCAACACGCTTCCCGACTTCGTGCCGTTCTAGAAGACCTGCACAGATGATCGATGGAGCTAGAAGCTAAATGGCATATGGCTATAGCCGCTCGATCGGCAATCAAGCGCACAGCTGTCTGCAATTGCAGTCTGGGAATTGGAAACTGGGAACACCAGCTGGTGAAGGGCAGTAGTCGCTATCCGGACTGCAATTGTATGCAAATGAACGCGTGCCGTGTCGAGAGCCTCAAATTGCATAATAATTGTTGGGTGAAATTATCGCCTTGATTTGAAACATGGGTTCTTTGGATTTTTTCGTACAATATGCAATAGAATTCTTTATTGTAATTTACTTTTTTTTGCTGCTTTTGCCTATACATACAGATTTATGTATAATGTGCACTCGCTGCACTTACTGCATATAATATATATGTTTGTGTATATATATAATTTATGTATACATATTCATTATTAATATAATATTTAGCTTGTGGTTCTTTAAATATGTTTGTTGCTGCTTTTTTATGCTCTAGGTACCGTCTCTTCGCAATTTCGTATCGCTCCTCATTTGTGGTTTATCAACTATGTTATCGTAATGAAATTTAAAATTTACGTTTGCAAAACGAAAGCTTTAACAACTTAACTGAATACGGGTTCTCTTGTTTATTGTTTTCACTATATAATATATATATATATTTATTAATATTATGGGCGCTCGGTTAATGCGTTTCTTTCTCGTTTCATCTGCTCTGTTCGCTTTTAATAGCGACTAAGACACTTTTTCATTCATAATTCATTAATTTCAATTGTTTTGCTTTTCCTCAAATCTATATCGATCGATTTCTTAAGTGTTTTAAAGCTACAATTTGAGATGTGTAAAAAACGAGAAAAGTTTTTACATGTCTGTTTTTTCCTTCTTGTATGTACAGCAAATATGTTTTTATGGGCATTGGAAGGGGATGAGGGACTGAGGCGGAATGTTGCACATGTGAGCTCTGTGGTTTATTTTACTTGATGGGGAACCTAATGATTAGACCGTAAATTTAACTTAGCATATTTAACAAAAATTTATACATCTGCTTGGCGTTCTACAAACTAAAAGTGTTTCCCTCACTTCAATTTTATTTTTAGCTTTAGTTGTGTGTTGCGAATCTCTTTGTTTAGTTGGATTAATAAATATTTCAACAAATCGCCCGCAGCACGAATCGATAATAGTTATAATAGTCATAGTACATAATCAATAGTAATAAAATTAATAATCGTAGTTAATTTACACGAGTTCTAAAGTTACGAGTTAAATTCTGGAAAAAACTAAATTCTAATTATAGTCAGGGGGAGCTTTAGAGTAATTCTTTGAATTTTTTGCATTATTTCTATTTTGCTTTTCTGCTTAGTTTCTTTTGTTAAGCATTTTAAACAAATTAAGTTCAATTAAATTAGATTAGAGGCCTAATTGGCTAAACCTATTAAAATTAATTGTCATAAACACAAGACTTAGAATCTAAAGACTACTAAAAGATACAAACTAAACCCAACAAACTTGTTAATTAGGCGTGGCCAAAGTCCAGGGCGCAACTGCAGTCAAAAGGAAACATTGCACAAAAAAATGGTCGTAGAATACAACAAAATTAAAATCGAGGGGCGGGCAGTGGAATTCGAGTCTAGCAAATGAATATCAAATATCAGTACAAAACAATCTCGCCTCCATAGGTTTACCACATGTATGAACAATGGAAATTATGTTTCCTAGCAGGAATTTAACTTTATAAAATGAAACTGCTATGTTGCCGATATTGTCTATATTAAATAATTTGATAGGGATAGGGATAACTCTGACAGCTTAGGACATCAAAACTATAAAAATCTTTGAACATTATTAAGAATTTGAAAAACAAAGAGCGGGGGTCAAAAAATAAGCTACTTTAATTCCGGCAAACGAAACGAAAACTCAGGTGGTTGTTAACCTCTTTGGAACCAATTTGCCTGTGGGTTTGAAACCTTTCTAAGCCTGTAAACTCCTTCGATCTTATCGCTGAGTGGCTGCCGCCGAAGCTGATGCTGCCGCTGATCCCGATGCTGTTCCAGTTGCCGCCCCCGTCAAGTCGTCCCCTTGGAGATCCACGTTGGCGGCACTGGCGTACTGCTAAAACCATGACTGCCGATTAATGTCATACGGCTTGGGCATGCCCAGTGTGGCGCGTTGGTAGGCGGAAGGCGGCGGCGGCGGTTGCCCATATCCGGCTGCTGCCGCCGCCGCGGCCGGCCCGCCCAGCAGACTCTGGTTGAAGATCATCCGCGTATGGAAGTCATCGCGTCGTAGGTACTGCTGATACAGCTGCGAGTTGGGATCCGCAAACGGATAGGCTGCTGCAGCAGCTGCTGCCCGCGTTGATGGATGTGCCGCCGCCAGGAAGGGATACGATCCCGCTGCCGTATTCAGTGGGTTCTGGCTCTTATCGGCGGAATTCGCACCCGGATTTGCTGTTGCACCGCTGTGTGCCGGTGCCGGTGGCATATAATAGGGATTGGGTGCATCTCTGAACTGGTCCAGATAACTACTGGCCGCCGCTGCTTGATCCCCGTATAAGCCCAGAGCTCCTGGAGTAGGCGCAAAATTGAAGGCACTTCCCGGCACCATTCCACCTGTCGATGTTTTGAGCGAAATTGCTGCCGCATCAGGCGCCGTTTGATTGCTGGTAGTTCCACTAGTGGTCGGCGTTGCTGCTGGCGAGGATACTCCTCCGGATTTTAAGCCCGCATACAATTGAAAGCCTTGGTGCAGCGCCTGCGCATGTGCCTGCAGCTGATTATTGGTCGTCGCGACTGCGGAAACGGAGGACACCGACTGGGGCATGTTGTATTGGGGCATGGCTTGGTGTTGCTGCTGTTGTGGCAATTTTTGGGTCTGATTTTGCTGCTGCAACTGTAGGAGTTCCTGAGTAGGTTCTTGCTGGTGGTTCATTCCTGCAAGAAAAATAAAGTGGAGTAATTAAAAGAAATGGATAAAGTAGGTTTATAAAATAACGAAAGTAAAATTAATTATCTTATAATTAAATATTTTACAATCGTTTTTAATAGTTATTTGATCTTTGACCTAATAATAATTTAAACGTTTTCTCGAAATATTGACATTGAAAAATGTGAGTTTTATATGCCAATTTGTATTCCAAAAAACTAAAAAGCGAAAAATCACCAATCAATCAAATAATTTTAATAAATAGTAGTCTAAGTTTGGAGAAATCGTTACCGGCGTGCGAAAGGAATGCACAAAAACAAACAGAGAAGTTCTCATCCGAAAGATGATTTTACTTTATACATTAAAATCAAATATATTCAAAAATTAAGAGCTCTTACCAATCTTGCAAAGTAAAACATTAATATTACATAATCGAATTCTTGTAAATAAAACTCACCAATCATGTGCTGGGATTGTTGTGATTGTTGTTGCTGCGCTTGCTGCTGCTGTTGTTGCTGCTGCTGCTTTGCTGCTTCGGCTGCAATTGTGGCCGCCTTCTTTTTCCTTCCTCTTTTCGCTGGAGCCTTGACCTCGGCTGGGGCAACTGAAGGAGGCGGCTGCTGTTGTTGTTGTTGCTGCGTTTGCTGGTGTGCAGGATTGTTGTTCCCGGGAACATAGTTACCGGGCAATTGCTGAGCCGGATTGCCATAGGCCGTGGCCGCTGAACTTGAGGCACTGTACATATGGGCCGCCGGCGGCATGGTCTTGTCGAAGTAGTTTCCGGCATAGCCCAACATCGATTGCATCAAGGGGTTGCTGTAGGTTTGGGGCGGAGGCGGCGTCGGCTTGTTGTAGGCGGCCAGATGATGCGTCTGGCTGAGATGATGCTGGTGGGCGGTTGAAGGCAAGTGCATCATGTTGCTGCTGGCATCGCTCACCGCTGCAGCAACTGCAGACTGTGGTACAGTAGGTTTGTCAGACACTGTAGGTTGCTGTTGCTGCGCGGTATAATTGTGGTTGAGTTGCGCCTGCTGTTGCTGGTAGTTAATTTGTTGCGGTTGTTGCTGCTGCTGTTGTGGCAACTTTTGAGCCTGGTTTTGCTGCTGCTGTTGCTGCTGCTGCAACTGTAGTATCTCCAGACTAGACTTTTGTTGGTGACTCATTCCTGCAAGAAAAGAAAATCGAATGAATAGAAGAAATGAAAAAAGTAGATTTATAAAGTTCATCGGAAATTCATCGGGAAATAAATAAAAAAATATATTAACACGAATTCGAAGTAGCCTGTCTTCTCTGGTAATTAACCAATGCCAATTTGATTTTTAAAGAATTGGAACTGATGCCGCATATTTTTGACCTTCGTTAGAGTTCGATTTCCCCCAACAAGAAATGTGTCCATTAATTTGTAATTGTAACAAAATTCTTTGGGTAATAATAGTTTAAAGGTAGATCTTTGTAGGACGAAAGTATTTTTTTTTAAGTATAGAAGAAAGTATTATCGAAAATCAAGCCATTTACAAAATAGTTTTATTAGATCACTTTGCGTGATAGGATTATTTAAATAGTTTAATAAGTAATTAATTTCTTATAAACACTGTATATATTCTAATTCTGGTAAATAATGTAAAACTACAAAGTAAAAATACATTATTTATAGTAAAATGCTTGTAAATAATAACACTAACACAGTAAAACCTGAATAAATATGGTATTTTTGCAAATAATCCTCAATAATGCAGTAAAACATTTATAGTATATAATACAATTATTTTAACTAATACTCACCAATCATATGCTGCGTTTGCTGTTGTCTCTCTTGTTGCTGCTGTTGCTGGGGCGTTTGCAATTGTTGCTGCGCTTGTTGGTTTGTCTGCTGCTTGTTGGTAGCGACTTGTGGCGATTGCTGCTGCTGGAGCTGACAACTATTGTCTTTCGCGAAGTCTTTGGGAAAACCCATAGCTGCCGCTCTGTTATACATCTCAAACGCTTTGTCGGGTGCAATGTTCCCAATTGGTTTGCCGAAAGCCATGGAACCCAAGAAACTATTGAACATTTGCTGTTGTTTGTTGAGCAGGGATTGAGTTTGATTCTGGCTTTGTGGCTGCTGCTGTTGTTGTTGTTGCAACTGAGGCTGCGGTAGCTGCGTGGCAGATTCGTCTATTTTTGGCATTTTATTTGCCGCGTTTCCACTGTAATCCGTGCCAATTTCCTCTCCAGGTCGTTTGAGAGGATTTATTAATGTATCTGTTTTGGGAGGCTGCTGCATTTGATGCTGCATAAATGTGGCCATATCACTGCCATAAGTTGGAGGCACAATCTTTTGCTGTTGCTGTTGCTGTTGTTGCATCGTATCCACCGCATCTGCTGCTGCTGCAGCATTAGCTGCGGCATTTGTTGACTGATATTGCGCATAGGTTGGATATTTCGGTTTATGTTGCTGTTGATGGCCCAGCACCTGTTGTTGCTGCTGTGGGGTCTGCAATTGTTGCTGCTGTGGTGTTTGCAACTGTTGCTGCTGTGGTGTCTGCAATTGTTGCTGCTGTGGGGTTTGCAACTGTTGCTGCTGTTGAGGCGTTGCTTGTAATTGCTGTTGGGTTGTTGCCTGCAGCTGCTGTGGCGTCGCTTGCATTTGCGGTTGCTGTTGCAACTGCCCAGGTTGTTGCTGTTGTTGCTGCTGTTGTGTTGCCTGATTTACAGTATTGGTAATGGTGGGCGGCAACAGACTGCGATTTAGGCTCCAATCATTATTCGGCTTGGTTATGGAGGAATTTGCAGCTGTAGAACTTGGCAGAGGATTAATCAAAGTGGCTGGATTATACAAGGATCGCTGTTGCTGCTGAAGTTGCTGGTAGCTGTCGTGAGTGGGCGCATAACCGTTGTTGCTCAGAGCTGGAATAAAGAGGAAAGTGGGTGAATATTAATCAGATTCAGTAAGTCATACTGTATTTTACATTTGTTATTAACATTTAAAAATAAATTAAAATAACTGAATTAAAAAAAAATTATTTATAGTGAGAGAGCATTATTAAATGAATTTATTAAACAAATTTTGATCGAATTCTGTAGCAGAAGAGTAGTTACGCTTTTCTACTTTTGTATTTGTTAATTTTAATCCTAAGAAGTAGATTAATGTAATGTAAATGTAAATTACACAATCGAGTTGTGTGTTTCAAACATTTTTGTATCATATGTTCTACTTTAAAGCAGACTATTTTTGACACACATGCAATCAATATTGACACTGTTAATTCAAAATTCTCATGTTTTTAACATAATAAAAGCATATGTAAATACTAACCCGCTGAAGGCACAACACCTGTTGCTGGTTGTACAGGCGGCACAACGGGTGGTTGCACCTGTTGCTGGGGCTGCTGATAAGGTGACAGTACGGGCTGCTGATACGGCGAGTGCTGCTGCTCCGCCGGCGAGTGCGCCAGCGGAGTAGGTGGTTGGGTAGCTGCCGACGATGCCGGGGATTCCACACTGTGCATTGGGCTGAGAGCCTGCTGATGGGCCGCCGGACTGTGGGAAGGTTGCGAGGATTGCTGCTGCTGCTGAGCCGCTGGTGGATGATATGGTGAGTGCTGCTGCTGGTGGTACGGCGACTGGCCATGATATGGCGAGGGGTGCGTCGATTGCGATTGCTGTGGCGTGGTGTACGGAGAACTTTGGGGCTGCTGGTATGGCGAGTGTGGGTTAGGGGTGCTCGGACTCATCGAAGAGTTGTAGTCAGATTCCTGGGAGCGCGGCTGCTTGTATTGGTCATAAATAGGAAGCGGGGATGTGGAAGAGTAGGCCGGAGTCTTGGACGCCTCAGAGCCCGAGGGATTGTAGCTATTTCCACCTCCATAGGGAGAAGTTCCACTCATATCCGGAGTGGATACATTGGGTGACGACGCAGAGGAGTAGATATGCTGGGAGTACTGGGGATATGGAGAGTTCATCTCCCTGGGACTGCAACTCTTGTCCGGACTGCTTTTCGTCGTAGTGTCCTGGTAGAATCCCACTTTGATAGCTCCATTTAGGGGATAAGGAGACGCTGGTTTGCCCATATCATCATTAGGCTTGGGGGAAACCATAATGGGAGATGCTCCAATAGGTGAGGCGCCAATTGGCGAGGTATAAGAACCAGCCGCATAGGATCCATAACGCTCATCGATGGCTATTCTCGGAGAATCCGGGTCCTGGCTAAAGGAACTCCTTTCCGAATTCGTGCTCCCCGTGCTTGGTTTTCTTTGACGCATCACCGTTGGCAAAGAGAAGTTGTCCCCAGCAGGCGAATGAGCTGGTGGAGCCACCTTGGCATCACCTTGAAGATCTTGTGTAGACGTCTGCTGTTTCTCTTCCTCCTCGGACTTTTTGCTAACCTTTGGACCACCAAAAGCTTTTAGCCAGGCGCTCAGATTAGGCTTTTCCTTTTGACTCGCTTCCGTTTTCGTTCCCTCTGAGGATTTGACTATTTTACTGAGTTCTAAAAGAGCTTCAAACGGTTTTGGTGCTTCTTTGTTCGGTGTTGTGGGTGTAGAAGGCTTCTCCGATTTGCTTTCCTCATTGGGGCTGTCATCTTCATCTGTGGCTTTTTTCCCTGACATTTCCTCAAGGGTTTTGCTCAGTGAAAAGTCCTGGGTTTTGAGAACCGTACCCAAACTCAGCTTTGGTGCACCCTCGCAGGTTTCAGTGATGAGAGCATTCTTCAGCTCTTTAACCTTGGTGGCAACCGGGTTCCCACTTGCGTGGGAGTCTCCGCTTTCCTCCGTTGACTTCCCAGCAGCTACATTCTGCAGAAGATTACCCTTGGCCTTGCCTGGCTGAAGACGTTCAATTGTCCTCATAACATTAGCCTTGGCTTTCACCTGCTGAGCTTGGGCTGCTTGAGCCGCCTGTTTTTCTTTCAGGGATTTGCGCTTGGCCTCCTTAGCCAGTTGCTGTTTGATATGAGGCGGTGGTGGTGGATTCAGAAGCAGCTGAGTTGTACTCGGCTCCTTTGGCTTGGGAATGGGAAGCAGTGGTGGAGGAGCAGGTGTTGGCGTTGGAGTAACTGCTACAGGTAAGGGCGTGGGCATCGAATTATTAGAACAATTTGAACTGGATGCTGCAGTGGCGGATGTGCTGCCAATGGAATTCCCTGAGTGCATCGAATGAGGTGGGGTTCCACAGCTGCTGCTCACACTGCTGGGCGTTGGGGCCACCGATTCCGATTCTGATTTACTGGCTGCCTCTTTCGGTTCGCTGACCAGTTCATTGAGAGCCTCCGCCAATTTAGTTGGTACCAATTCTGCTTTTGGAGCAGCCAACGCGACTGGTCGTCGAAAGTCTGCTCCATCTAGTTTACTTCCCATTCCTGAGTCAAAATCATCCAAGAGATTATAACGAGATGGTGAATTGCTAGCCGAGCTGAACTCCGTAAAGCGAGGCGTAAGCTCCAGCCAGCGATTTATGTCTTTGAGGGTCTGTTCGGTTTCCACATCCAAAGCTTCCAGATTTGTGTTGTTGTTGGTTTGCGGTTGGCCTGCCTTTTGGACTCCTTTTTTGTTGGAAGTTTTCTTACCAGAGCCCTTTTCACTTGGTTTATCAGCTGGTTTGGGAGGCGGGGGCATTTGTTTGTCGGGTCTTTTCTTAGCCGCCGTTTTTCCAGCGGCTTCTTTTACTTTACTGGGTGCAGGTGCAGGGGCTGCAGCTGGAGCAGGAGGTTCCTTTATCGTTTCTAGAGGGACTTCCGGAGCAGGTGATTTCTCTTTTAGAGGTTTTTCCACTACTTTAGGTTGTTCCTCTTTTTTCGTTGACTTTTCAGAGTGTTTCTCGGAATCGGCTTTGGAAACTTTATCAGTTTTCTCTAGTTTATCCAAGTCCTTTGATCGCTTTTGATCTTTACTCTTACGACCGCGCTTGTGCTCCACAGGATCGGGAGATTTTTCCCGTTTTACTGCTGCTCTTTTGCTATCCCTACTGCTTTTGGTGCTTGCTGGTTTGGAATCCTCGGAAGGAGCTATCGAGTTGGAGGCGCTGGACCCGCTCAAGGCTGCACGACTACGTCGGAACTTGATAACATCGTACTTGTCCATAAAGGGCAGCAGCATTTCCAGCTCAGCCTGCTCGGCTGCAGCTGCCGAAGCGGCTGCCGAAAGTGGGGATTCTTCCTTATTCTTCTTGTGCTTAGCGCTGCGGGATTTGTCCTTATCCTTATCCCTGTCTTTGTCCTTATCCCTATCTTTCTCCTTATCCCTGCTCTTTTTTTCCTTCTCCTTTTTTGAGTTGTCCCCCTTTTTGCCCTTTTTTGCCACCGGCGGACGCTCAGGGGAGCTAGCCCGACTGCTACTTAAGGATTTAAAGTCCCCATCGGACTCTCGGAAGGATTTTTCCTCGTCATCATCCACTTCGTCCTGGTGCCGAGCACTCAGTTTTGTGGTCTCCGCCGTGGGAACCTTCTTCACAGTGGTCAGCAGCTCGGAGAGATCATCGTTAAGGGCACTTTTTGAGTATTTTTTGTGGAGATCAACCTTGAAGGGTGACATGCTTCGGGACCGCGAGCCGTCCTCATCTTCGTCTTCATCCGCGGGCTGATCATCGTCGTCATCTTCCAGCTCGGCGGCGGATTCAGCTAAAGCAGCAGCTGCCGTTGGTGGCAGCTGTTTCTTCACATCCACATCGGAAAGCTCGCTGTCTAGTGAGTCGTCTTTAACCTTGCGTCCACCTTTTCCCTTGCCTTTTACTTGGCGTTTGACTGGGGTGGGCATCTTTACCTTGGATTCAGCAGGTACTATTTTCTTCTTCTGGGCCGCTATCGTTCGTGCTGTGGGCTTGATCAGGGACTTGGCCTTGGCCAACGATATGTGGTCATCATCGCTATAGTCCTCGCTCTCGCGGCTGTCGCTTGGATCTGATTCGGGCTCGGATTCGGGCGCCGACTTCTTGGCCCCTTTTTTGGTCTTTTGCTGCAGTTTGCTGGGCTTAGACGCAGACTTTTCGCCCTTAGTCTTGCGTCCTCGCTTAGATGAAGTTATTTCCTTATCCTTATCCTTTTCCTTCTCCTTTTCCTTTTCTTTCTCCTTTTCCTTTTCTTTCTCCTTTTCTTTATCCTTTTCCTTTTCTTTTTCCTTGGTTAACTTGCCCGTTTTGCTTTTCTTGCTTATTGGCGGAGGAGGAAGTGCCGGTGGCGTTGGTTCCCTCTCGGGCTCCAAGTCTTCATCATCCGTTTCCGGATCTGCCTTGCTCTTGGTTTTCTTTTTGCGTCGTTTGTCTTTTTCCTTCCGCTTGCGTTTTTGGGCTTTTTGTGTGGCCTCCGCTTCAATCTCGCTGAGATCGTCCTCGGCACTACTTTCCAGACGACCTGGCGCATCTTTCTCCGTCTCCTCCTTGGCCTTTTTGCTGAAGTACTTTTCGCGGAATACATTCATCTTTGAGTCGGCTGCAGGATAGCTCAGATTGGGATCATCGTCCTCGTCGTCCGAGAGATTCTCAAAGTACTTTTTGGTTGCCTTTTCAAAAGCATCCTGAAGATTGTTCACCATCTCTGTGTATTCTGTAGCATTAGAAAGGCAATATAAGGATTTTAAGAAATTATTTTTTTAGAAAGCTATTTTTACCATTATTGTGCCCATTGTACAATCTGCAGTTGTTGACAATCAAGCGAAAGTCATTGCGGAATTCGCTGAATTTGTGATATTCCCCACTGTCTAGCTTGTCTTCCATCTTCAGCAGGTCCATGGGTCTGTATAACAAAGTAAAAGAGATTAATGGTTAAGTATATTTTATAATTCATCAATTTCTATATTAAAACTTATTTACAACAATTTTCTGAGCAATAATGTTTTATTGTATTATTTTGGACAAAAATAAATTTAATAATATCTGGTTGATTTTTTATTCTTAATAAAAATCTTTTATGATATCTAAAAAAAGTTTGCAGAAAACCTTATATGTAAAAGTGCTACCCACCTCCTGATGATCGAGTAATAGCGTGGAGCTATATCCTCTTCCACGGGATCCACAAATGGCCAGGCATCGCGATGGTTTTTCACATAGACGAGCACCTTGTGCATTCCGATTTGCAGGACCTCCTCCGTTTCGGTGAAGCTAAGAAGATTCGCATGATTGGAGGAGTTGTACGTTGAATTGTTGTTTGTGTTTACTGGGAGGTGTTGTGATGTGCTTGTTGCATTTGTTGTGTGATTATTGTTGTTGTGGGTTAGGGAGTGGTGCGTTTTGGATTTATGTTTGTTACTGTAGTTATTAGTGGTATGGTGGTGGTGGTGGTGGTGGCTGTGGTGTGAGTGGGAGGTATGGTGGTTGTGATTATTTTGATTATGATTATGATTCGAATTATGATATCCCTGCGACGTTGTCGTTGTTGCTGTTGTTATAGCCGATGCCGTCGTTGAATGGCTGTTGTTGTTGTTGTGACTGTGGTGCGACGCGTGCTTATGGTTGTTGTTGTTAAGGCTGCTGTTGTTGTTGGTGGTGCTACGGTTGCTACTATTTACATGGCTACATTTTATCGGGTGTTGGGTTTTTGATAAACAACAGTCGGAATGTTTTTTTTTTTCGTTTGTTTTTGCGGGTGGGTACAAAAGTTTACAATAACAATGATAAATATGTTAATCAATTGATCATATTATATACAATTTGATGGGTGAATGGATGAAAGAAGCCGACAGCATGCAAGGCTTATAGATATAAATGGAACTTAAAAAGTTGAAACAAATAATGGAAATTTACAACTTAAGGAAGAGGACGTGTAATAGAAAAGTAACCGAAACGTCCGCAATTGGCCCAAACTCAAAATCAACAACAATACTAGAGTTGAGCATCATGAATGCTTTTGCATAACAGATACAATTATACCTTGATTAATTCTGCTTCGAATTGTTTTAAATTTATTTAATGTATGCCTTGTTTTATTAGCCAATTTTGTATAATTAATTATTAATTTTTATAATTAATATATTGAAATACTATTCATAGTTTTTATGATGGTGCTTTGATTTTTTGTTTATTATTTAAATTTATCAACTTTATCATTTAAAAAACTTTTTACTTAAATAGATAACTGATTTAACACTAATATTGACCGAAAATGTAGGGTTGAAAATCCGAGATTAAGTATGATATCAAGTTTATTATTAATCAAGATGTACGTATATCTATGACATGATGCCCACACCTCCAACAGCAAGCAGAATAAAGAATGATAAAGGATATGCCGAGAGAAAACGGATAGTACGATTGTGTTGTGTCTGGGGGTTGAATCTCTCCACCCTCACTTACTCATCGCCACTCTTGTCCGAGTAGGCACCGCTGTTTCGCTCCGCCTTGCTAGAGGATGAGGACGCCGATGAGCCCGCCGTCGACTTCTTGGACTTGCCCGCTTCCGCCTTGCTCAAATTGCGATCCGCCTTGTCCGCCACTTTACTGCTGCTGCTACTCCCAGTGCTGTTCAGCACGGCCTTTTGTTTCTTGGAACGCACTGTGCTGACGGTGGTACCACTATGGCTGCTGCTACTGCTGCTCTGAGGCTCCTGCGATTGCTGCTGCTGTGATTGTTGCTGCTGCTGCTGAGCGCTTCCTCCCGGTATAAATATGTTTCCAGTAAGCGAACTCAGCGAATTGTTTGTCTGCCTGCCTGGCAATTTAACATTGGCCGCTGGCGCCATTGAAGGAGCTATCGCTGGGCGCTCTAGTTGCGCTGCTGCCGGCCGATCCACCTGCTCGTCCTGCTCCGTTTCACTCTCATGTGCCACCGGCGATGGCAGACTGAGATCAGCAATACTCGTGGCAACCGCGATGGCCGCCGAATTAGTGTCTAATAGCTGCAGCTGCCTACAAAAGTTCTCCTTGTCCTCGGGACTTAGAGAAGTCGTGGGTTCCTGTGCCTCTGGCTGATTCTGTTGATGTTGCTGGTGGCCACTGCGTCGCCGTTTTGGTTGGGCACTATTATTGCTGCTGGTGCTATTGGTGTTACTGTTGCTATTGCTGTTGCTGTTGTGGTTATTGTTATCGTCCTCGCCTTCGTCCGCCTCTGAAGCATACTTGTGTCGACGCCGATGATGATGATGGTGTTCGCGATCTCGCTCACGATCTCTATCCCGATGGTGTCTCTTCTTCTGCTTCTTGCCCGATTTTTTCTTCTTGTGGTGATGATGATGATGGTGGTGGTGGCCGCTCTTGCTCTTTAATTCCACCGGCGTTTGCGATTTTGGTGTTTCTGGAGAGCGAAAATCGTCGCCAGTTGCTGAGGCAGCTAATAATTCCTCCGCTTCCTGCTGCTGCTCCTCCTCTCGCGGCTGATGTTCTTGTTGCTCTGGCTGATTTGGCTGCTGCTCCGCGTCAAGGGCCTCGTCGTCGTCGTCTTCGTCGTTTTCTGGGGAGAGGCAGAAGGTTTCCCTGTGGCACAGAAATTCGCTCGAATTAGTTGTGGTTGTTCGTCTAAGGGAGCTTGCATAGGTTGAAATACCACTAGCCGTCGATGTTGATTGCGATCTAAAACATACAGTATTAAACAAAGCTATTTAAATGGTACACCAAATATCAAGAAATAATTTTTATTCTTTAAAACTCAATTCTGATTTAATGTTTCTTGATTGATATGAAAGATTTCCTAGTGAAGATATGGGGATAATACCTTGAAATTAGAAACATGATTTAATATCAAGTTTATTCATTTCAGTTTAGAGCCAATATGAAAAAAGAAAAATTAAAATTAAATGTTCAATTATTGGAGATTTGGCTAATTTGAATAATATTTTTACGAATCAGCTTTTTTACGATATCATAATCTGATGATAAATGGAAATTTGATATCATTATGTCAATGTCTGTGGCTCGTGAATGAAATGAAAATGAGAATTTAATTTTTAAACAAACTTAAATCATAAGATAAGACATATATCGAATAGAAATATATCAAAAAGCATGCTTACAGATTTTTTTTGAAAACGAAATCCAACCAATTCTCCCATATACAAAACTAAATGATGGGCAAAACTCAAATTAAGTGCTGATCCTCGTTCCGTTCATTCTGGTCCCGGGTTTCACGTAGATGCTGATGATGGTGATTTGATTTAGTTTCTATTACTGCAGCAACACAAATTTTAAGCGAAAAGTGTTTGTTTCAAGAAATCATAAAATTACGGCAACTCAAAAGATCAATTAAAAATTTAAATCAAAGATGCTTTTTGTATGCAAGTGTGTTGGATGTATCTGTTTCGGTTTCGGTTCCTGATGTATGGGTGGGATGTGGCCGTCAAATCCGCGAGCCTTCTTAGGAACATTGGCGTGCTAACCGTCTGCGTGTGCGCTGCTGGGATTGCTGCTGCTGCTGTTGTTGTTGCTGCTGCTGTTGCTGTTGTTGCTGCTGCTGTTGTTGCTGCTGGGGCGGTGCTAGCCAGTGCGCGTTTTGCCGCTCCTGGTAGAGACTCTCCCGTTCGCGTCGCAGGCGTTCCTCCTCTTGGCGCGCCTTCAACTCAGCTATATTGCGAATGCGACTGGAGTTACGCACTTGCAGAAGTCTGGATTAGAAAGATGCAATGCGTTTAAGGAAATGTTTTTAACATTTAAAGTCGCACTTACTTTCTGCGCCTCAAACGCTCACGCTCACGAAAAAGCTGCGGAAGCTTGGGCAGAAAGTTGTCATCGAGTATGTGGAAAAGTTCGCGCTCCTTAGCGTTCGTTGAGGTCTTGAACTTGGCGGCCAAGTTCTGCCAGTCCTCCTCTGTAAAGCAGATGACCTGCCAGACTGTGCCGTTGCTGCCGATGCCTTTGCTGCTCGATGCTCCGCCAGAAGAGGCTGATCCGTCGCCTCCGGATCCCGAACCTGACGAACCCGAGCTGGAGGCTGCCGCTGCCTTGTCCTCGCGATAGAGCCGCGTGCCGTAGAAATACCAGTAGCCGGAGTTTTTGGCGTCGTAGCCCAGGGGCTCCACGCGCAGACTGTCCGCCTCTAGATTGCTGAGAATGACCTGCACATCGGCCGAATCTAGGCGAAAGTGACACAGGTCGTGCAGGATGTGCAGGCGCTTGCGCACGGGCAGCGACTGGAAGTCAATGTCCGTGTCGAAGTGGTTCTCGGTCTGGTGCAGGCGACACTGTTGGCGCAGGAAGCGACGCAAGAACATCTGATAGTTGCTGTGTGTGATTTCCTTGGCTACCGACTGTAGCGCATCGCAGCCCTTAAGCAGGCGCACAATTAACTCTGGCACTAAGGCGACCTGATCCTCATCGCTGGTACCATCGGAAAGCAGCGCCGATTCGAGGTCCTGCGGAGTGAATGGAAATTATTTATTGGCTTGTCTTTAGACTGTTTTAAGCAAACTCTTACCTCGATGTCGATGTCGGGCAGATCAAAGGCGGAACTAAACAATGAACAGAAATGCGAAATACACGGTATCTCCCACCATGATTGAATGTCTGTGGAAGAGGAATCATTGTTTCTATATTTATTTGACCTTAAACTCATATTTAAATAGTGTTTTCAGAATTTTGATACGTTTTAGCCAAGTTAAATACTATGATTTATTGACAAAATAATATTTTAAATTTAAGATTTTCTTAAACGTCAAAAGTATATATTTATTTTGCATTTGAATCGCGTTTAAGTCTGACCACTTTAGAATAAATAGTTTTTACTCACCTAATAGACCAATAAAAGTAGAAACCATTTATGTATGCTTGCTTATTGGAAACGTTGCGGGATTTTTGAGATGTGACTAAAACTATTCCTGGGCCTCTTTGGTACCTCTCGGCGAAGTCAGGCTGTATATATTAAATATAAGGAGTGTTGTCAGGCGTTAACGAATTAGGCTCAAGTTACGCGGCCGAAAGTCGCCGAAAAGTCGGAAAGGCGGCAAAAAGTGCGAGAGAAAATGTGCGCAACATGTGTGTGTGCGAGTGTCGTCGGGATATTGGGCGCCGATACATACACAAACATCTGGCTTTATCACTTATCAAACATTGCGATGCACGCAAGAGGGTGGGAAAGGGGATGGTGTGGGCTAAGTGGGTGGACGGTGGGCGGTAGGTCAAAAGAAAGTACACGAGCACCCCTTTCGCGCGCTTATTTTCACGAAGAGAAAATCAAAACAGACAGCCGACAAACGGCAAATGTATGCACCAAAACGGGATAGCACTAGAACACCAAGCCAATAGCCGAGCCGCTCACATTTTCACGTTTGCCTGCCATCTCTTTCTCGCACGTCACTACTATTTTGACTACACTGCACTCGATTATTTTGCAATTATAATATGCAATTTACACGGTTCTTGGGCAGTTGGTTTCATTTTGGCCAGTACTCGCACGCGATTGTTCCGGATTATATCTGGATTTAGTTGAGGAATATAAGCATAAATCCAACGATTTTACTCCCAATTTGGGAGCATGCGCGCGGCGGCTGACGACCGACGGCTTTTCTCCGCCTCTGTTTTTTGCCTGCTGGCCAGTGTGTATTTATTTTTATTAATACATGTATATATATTTTTCAGTTACGTGCGAAAATGTCATTTAACTTTAGAGACGCCCATTTCCCAGCTTTTCTTCATTACTTTCTGCTTTCCCCCCTCAATTTCTTTTTTCACACACACGCACACACACGAATGCGAAGGCACGCACACAGCCCCACGGACAAGAGGGGCTCCATCTGCCTTAAAATAATATTAATTATTTCACAACAACAACGGAACGCACTTAACAAACTGCTGCCGGGTATTAGTTAAATACTTTGCTAACCCTTTTCAATCCCGTTGATCTGCCTAGCTGCGCAGATAAATTACGATACGCGTTTTTTTGCGCTCCTGGTTAATTTTATTTTCCTTCAGCGAGCAGCAAACGCGGCTGTAAAATTTTCGATAACTAGTGATGGCCGGGAATTCGTCAACACGCCAAAATCGATAGTTTGCAAGAGATGGTTCATGGCAGAAGACAGAAGGGGCAAACGATAGTTGAGAAAGCATGCAAATTGTATTACAATTAGAAAACTAATCCTTTAGTGAAATCGATCAATAAAAAGCATAATTAAAATAACAACTAAAACTATTTATCTTAAGTTACCTTTTCAATAAATTTATTTCTATTATTTGCGGTTCCTTACAACTTTGGTTATCGTGAGAGCACATAATTAAATAGAATATTTACGAATGAGTAGTTTATGAACGATACAATACGTAAAATGTTTGTTATTGCATGTGATAAATATGTTAATAACAAAGAGAAGTCAAAATTTATTATTATTTTAATTAGTTCAGTTCAAGTTAAATAAATATTCTTAAACAAAAAATAAATTAGGTATGTTGTTGTGCAGATATAAATAATAATAATGTATCCATAATCAATGAACAATCATAAATTTTTTCCCTCGTCTTTCGAAATCGATATAACGATAGACTTCTGCCGCCTGCTTTGCGCTTGCCATTGGCCATTCTCCCACCTCCCACCCCTTGCTTTTCTTTCTTTTTTCCATCCCTTCCTTACCCCTCCTCCTACACGAGCAGCTGTGAGTCTAACCTAACATTTTGGCCCGTAAACTACATGGTGGCGTGCTTGTGTGTGTTGTTGCTTTGCATGCACGTGTGCGTGTGTGCGTGCATGTCACCATGTAGGTCGCCATGTATATTCTAAAGTAACTACATGGCATAAATCGCGGGTCGAGGGGCTATCAATTAAAGATTAACCAAAATAATGCAAAACCATCAAAAGCACAAAGAAAGTTTTGGTTCTTGAAAATTTTGGTAAGTTTCTCCACTTACCTTTTGGTAATTTTAGCCGAAATTCAATTACATCCGTCGTTTTGCCCCGGGGAGTCCCACCATGTAGGTTTTATCTACATGGCGATTCTAGCCGACATACATGGCGAGACATGTGAAACTGGTTTGGGCAAGGGCGGAACGTCGAAATTGGTTGTAAAATGGAATGGTACCTGAAAAGCCTCCCCAAGAACGCACATTTTAAAACATCATTTTTGTTTGTCTTATTTATAATAAAATAAGATTTGATGTGCAGTGTATTTAGAATAGCAGAACAGTTATTTAATACATTTGTAACAGATTAAAATCGCTGAGTATTAAAAACTAATAAAAGTTCCATGCATAAAAATAAAAACACTCTTTTTCAAATTATAATTTTTAGACTCAATTTACTTATTTTTGATAAAAATGATTTATATAAGTGCAACAGCGATTAGATAGTAAATAAATATTAATGTATCATAAATGTTACTAAAACATATAAGAGTAGAAAATTACATTCAATTTTAACAATAGCCTTTTCTTTAGACTCATTTTTGATAATGATTTATATAATAGCAAAAGCGATAAGATAGTTAATAATTTTTAATTTATGCCAACTGAAAACGTATAAGAGTAGAAATTAAAAGATTGTTTAATTCCAACAATAGCCTTTCTCTACGGTTTATTCAAGTTGGCTTAAGGCTTCTGAACTTTCTCCATTCCCCATATCCAAATTTGCATTTATAACCCGCTCCAACTGCTTGTATTGCATACATACGAATGTAGTCTTTATTTAGGTTTAGTTTAGTTTACTTTCATTAAGTTTTAGGGGCAACATTTAGTTAATAGCCAATGTAAAATGTAATGTGTATTTACAGGTGGTGCCGCAGCTGTTGCAGCTGGAGCAGCGCAGGCAGGTGGGGCATATGTGCATCCGGATCGCGGGCTCGCAGGGCGAGTGTCTGTTGGGGCTACGGGTCGATCTTACGGATCTTCAGACCACCGCTAGGTCCACGTGGAACGTGCGCGACTCCGGGCGAAGCGGCCGCCGATCCGGTCGCCGTGCTTACCAGCTGGGGCATCATCAGTGGGCCTCCATTGCTGCTGGCCTCTCCGTTTCCGTTGCTGGGACTCGATATGGATCCATTATGCAGGCGCCGTTTCAGCACGAACCGCTTGCCAGTCGTGGCCGTCGTTGTCGTGGTCACGGTGGCTATCGGGGTGGTTTTTGCTCCCTGAGCCGGCTCGTCATTCACGGGATCTACTTCCATGTCTGTGCCGGCATTGTTGTCTTCGTGCTGCAAGTAAATTTAAAGTTAGTAATCATGTTACAGCAGTTACATAACAAATATCTTTTTTCAAAACATGAAAAGGTTTTCGAATCACCATCAGCTCCAATTGCAAACTCACCATTTCACTATTGGGATCCTCGTCATCGTGGCCCTCCTCCTCCTCAAACTCAGCGCTCTCCGTATCTTCAGGATACTCCACCAACTGCCCATTCAGCGTGGGAAATTCAATCACCGGCAGGATCTGCCTCTGCTGCTGGTTGCCCTCGTCCATAAGCTGCTGGATGAGATTCGCAATGTCCTCACGCTTCTTGGTCACTGTGAGAAAGTCGAACCAGTTGGTCAGCTGCTTGATGGGAAGCCTATAGTCTTTGATCGGCTCGCTGAAGAACTGCTCCACATATTGCAGGAGATACAGGCCGCAATCGGTGAAGTTGTTCTGCTGCGGCACCTTGACGCAGTGGCCCGGCATGTTGTCCTTGTTGAAGACGTGCGCCTGCGCATCCGGCTTCTTCACTCGGTACTCGCATGTGAGGTAATCCCGCAGTGTGGCCACAACGCGACTTCGCGAAGCGCCTGCGAGTGAGTCGAAGATGAGTATCAGAGGTTGCTTAACGGCTGGTACCTCGTCGGAAGCAATGTTTCTCGCTGGACCACTAGGAGTGGACTGTGAATTGGATTGACTGGGGGTGCTAGTAGTAGTCGAGGTTGGCGTGGCCGCTGCCTCCTTCGCCGAGTTCGAGTTTTCGCTGTCTTCCGAGGCCATGTCGCTGTCATCGCCTTCCGCCTCGTCCCTTTCGCTTTCATCGTCTGCTATTCGGCACACGTTGTCGGCGGTCAAAGCTGCAGGAAGTTGGCCACCATCTCCACGTTTTGTCAGTGGGGTAATGGTGGTGTTGCCAATCTGGAGCGATACCTTTTTGCCTCTGGCCCGCTTCAGATGCTGCGGTTCCACAGGCTGATTCGTATCGAACGTCACAGGACCCTTCAAGTTGGGGAAGCATATTATGGCCAAGAACCAATGCGACTGTTCGTTGATAGGAACTATAATAAAATCCTTATCAAATATGTCGACCAATTTGGTCCACTTTTGCACCCTGGCGTGTCGCTTCTGGGCTGCCGTTTGTTTCATGTCTGTTGGACGCGTTAACGTTGTTAATCTCTTATAAAAAAATGTGCTGAAAATGTGCGTCCTCTCACGTTGCGGCTCTGGAATCAGCGTGTTTCTCAGCCAGAGCAGGTAAAAATCAATGATGATATCATTGAGGTAGGACTCCTTTGTGAGGCACACGTAGTCTTCCATGCGGATGCAAAGGCTTCCAGTTCCCTTCGGCGGATACATGAGTAGACTGACCTGCTCGTCTGCTCTCAGCTGACGCGGAGCGGGCTGTGAGCTCTTGTCCTGCGTCTTGCGATCAGAATCCGCGAACCTTTCGAGAATCTCGGCTGCATCAGTGGAGGAAATCTCGTCCACACAGCTGAACATTGACTTTATGAGCTCGCGCGCGGATGAGGAGACGCTATCGAAGAACAGAATCAGTCGGCGCGTGCGATAGCTGTGCGTCTTAAAGCCGATTTCTGCAATTATCAATGGTCAATATATTTATTAGTTAGAAAATAAGATTTGTTTTTTATTAATATGCTTTTATTTTTGTGTGGATGAATATTATATCTTTTTTATTGTGTGGTACAGACATATACCCTAGAATACTGTTCTCACAAAGTTGAAAACGAGTCAAAGATGAATGATAACAAAAAAAGAATTTATTAGAATGTTCAGATTTGGCTCGAATAGACTATATTTTGAGCTTGTTTCCAAAATTACATTTTAAAGAGCGTCAGGAGTACTATTATATCGTGCCAGTCAAGGGCTGACGCTGAACCATACTAACTCGGAAACTTAATTTTCTGGGACTATGATGACAATTAATGCAAATTTTTATTTTTTTTACAAATGAAAGAATCTTTATAGTTAATGACTCACGTTCATGGGGCTGATCGTCGGGCAACTGGAGCTGGTTCTTGACATACTGCGCGCAGGTCTTGAGCAGATATAGCGTGACCAGCGGCCGCGCAGGTTCGACGTTTCCAAAGTGGGCTATCACCTTGATGACCTCCTGCTTATGGATGTGCAGCACAAACTTCTCGTCCTTGTCCTTCAGGATGCCCGCAATCCGGACGCCCTTGGAGGTAAAGCATACCTGTGGATAATCAATTACCAGATTACCAAAATGTATTATACACATTTTAGGGGCAGGGGTGAGGCCTTACCGGCTCCGCAATCTCGAATTTGTAGGGCACCAAACGCACGCAACTGCAGTTTAAGGATGTGGAGAACTTTTCTGTTTCTGAGATATCCGACAAATCCGTAACATCACCGCGGGAAAAGTCTAAAAAGGTAACAAATCAGTAGGCCTTTAATTAATGCCATTTCCTCGTGGCTGCAAGAGTCACATTTTCCAATCGTTGCGTTTTTGATTCCACCGCCTTTACCTTCGTCGTTCATTGTGTCCTTATATAGCCGCTGCTCTGCGTTGTTAAAATAGCTTATTTAGAACTAATTTAAAGTCGCGAGTCTTGGAATATTGCAAAAGAATGAGGAAAACGATGTGTTTTCACGCATTCGCTTTGCGTTTCTTCTTCTTCTCAGCCGACCATAAAAATGGCGTGCTCGTGCCAACGAGGGCGCCCCCTGGCGGATTATCGAAGTACCGCTTGGTCGACGGCGTTGCCAACACAAAAAACCTCTACACGCGACATTGCAATGCATAAGTGATGCGGCTAGCTATATCTATCGCAAAAAATAACTGGCGACAAAAGGCTAAATGTTGTTT